AACCCCCCACCACGCCGTTCCCCCACCGTTCCGTTCCGTACGTTCCCTAGGTGGTTGGTTGCGCTCCGCTAGTCAGTCAGAGTCAGTAGTCAGTCGTTGACGCAAGTTTCGTACACACACGAATGAAATCTCACTGAAATCGTGGATGAAAAACCTAAGTTTTCGATCGCGAAAATAGGGCGTCCTTGTTACTATAAAGTGAATACATTTTGGAGTTACTTTGTGCTACGAGGATTATTTTTCTTTACTTCAAGCACAAGCAAGGGATCTGTCTGTCTGGCACGTTTCAAGTAAGAGTTGTTTTGATGTCTTAATTTCCTTTTGAATTGAAGGACACTGTTATAATGTCTCTTGATTTCTAATACGACTAATTCTTACGAAAAATAATACTTTTCCTCTTGTACTCTTTGGTTTAACGGAATAATTTCGAACATTCTGGCTGCTGTCTATTATTCGCGTTCTAAGCAGGTGCTTTTTGTTTTCCACCACATTTAGAGTTATCTCTGAAAAGTCGTGTAGGGCTGTTTTACTGATATGTAATGAAAATTTTAACAGTAAGTCTGAGCACTCACAGATTTTTTTTTGGGTGAAAATAGGTCTTTTAAATCAAAATCTGTATGTCTACCTAACCCCACCTGGCTGACTTTTCACCATTATTGCTTGTTTTCATTTTAGTTTCAAATGAACAGTCATGTTGATCGTCGTTTTACATTTCCTTTCCTTCTAAACTTACATTTTTCATGTAAAATCAAAACTCATTTTCAAAGAATTTCTGTGCTACGGCATTACTCATGTCTATTCCATGAAATGTGACGAAATATCATCAGGTTTTGTGGAGCTTTGGCACACATTATATGATGGTACAATTATTTAAAAAAATAAAATTCTAGCAAACCTTAAGTTAAATTTGGAGTGGTGAAGATAAGTGAAGACCATCGACGATCTCTGTATATGTAAGCTGTGAATATAAACCTAGGTAGATGTTTCCATCCTCATTTTGATTTCTATCTTCACTTGTCTTTCTATTTATTATTTATTTAGCTTTCTAAGCTCTATTTATTATTGTAATTGCATTTTCCTTTTCACATCACCAACCTTTTCCACAAACTTCTTTTTTTTTCCCCAACATGGTATGATAATGTTGACACCTAGCAGCAATATTTGATGGGTGTGGAGTTAATGAAGTATTCAAAACTTATGATCAAAAAGAGCCAGACCCAAGAAGTCCTTAGAAGTTCGCCAATGGGGCCCCTTGTTAAAAAAAAAAGGGGCCTTTAAAATTAATTGACTATACAGTGTATTGAGCCAATTGAGCTAGAACTTTATGACCTGTCTTGGTAGTCTGTTTAATTAATGTAATAGTTTTCAGAAATGAGAGAGGCTATCAGTGAATAATTCTCAATTCTAATTTCTGGGGGCTTCAATCTTGGTGTATGAAGTGCGCGCGTGTTGGTTTTCTCGTGGGAAAGGCCGCGTTGTGTTCTACAATGCTCTACCTCAGATTCTACTTGCCCTCCCGCCTTCCCCTCTCTACCCTTCCCCACCCCTCCTATGGCTTTCCCCCTTCTACTCTTCTCATGCTGCTCTTGTCGTGTCGTGGGTCGTGGTAGTCGTCCTGGAATATGCATCTCACTGCTTGACTGGCTCAGCGATTAAAAATGCAGAGTAAATTTGAAACGAATGAGAACACTGGTATGTAGTTACCCTCGTTTTACTCAATTCGAAAAAGATTTTGTTCTCGCTTCCCAAACCATCAACAGCGTGACATCTCACGTCTCTTCTGCCGCCAGAGCTCGCGTGACTGGTCACGCAAAACGCCAAACTGTGGACGCTTTGCCCTCACGTACTGGCCTCTGGTGTGTTTCAGGTCGACGACGCCGTCAGCCATCGGGTGGAGTGGAGCACACTTTTGACACAGGTAAGCCGGAGTCTTTTTTCTGTTTCTTCGATTGGGCATTGGTCATCTCTCCCCACCCGCGCGGCTGCCTCCATGCCAACCACGGTCGCATCTCGAGCATGTGCGTGTCGATTGCGGGGTTACGACAGCCGATGGAATCCGTAGGATGCCCGTTCGGCTCCTCTGCGGGGCCCCCGGTCCGCGCGGTCCGGTCCGGTCGGGTCGGGAAGCAACGCAGGAGGAGCCGTGCAGGGCCGGGGAGGGGGCCCTCCACCCCCCGGGAGGTGGGGGCCGGCGGGGGCCGGCGGGGGCCCTGCACCGGGAACTGAGCCAACACGGACGAGGCGGGGCACACGGCGGGGGCACGGGGGAGTGCAGCGAATGCAGAATGCACCAAGTACCAAGTGTCCCTGCTGGGCGACCACCAGCGTTGTGCGGGGACCATAGCGGGGACTTGAGGAGGGTGGGTCAGAGATTTGTTACTAAGACGCCCGTAGTACTATAAGGGACAAATGGGGAAGGGGGTGTCTGTCCTTTCCACAGAGACCACGTTGACGGCCGGGCAGACGACCAAGTCTGACCAAGCCTGCCCCGCCCTGTCGCCACCTCGGCGAGTCGTCCTCTCCGACCCTCGCGTCGTCCGAATGGGTCCGAATCCATGTTAACGATTCTATCGGGGCTCAATCATTTGGTAACAGGCGGCGCCGCTCGTCGCGGCGGAGGTCAAGGGGAGGACTGGCTTACGGGATGGGAGCGGGCGGGACGGTCGATTCGTGCATGCAACCGGGAGGCAAAAGCTGACGGCGCCCCAGCCTGCCCGGGCCCGGGCCCGGCCCAGAGGAGGAGAGAACCCTCGGCCACTTCATCTAGTTCTAACGGGAGTCCTGGTCTCGGCGTGCAGCGCGAGGCCTGGGCCCGCCTGCGCCCCACCTGCAATGCGGCCCGTAGAGGAGGAGGGCACGGCTTGACCCGCAGGGACGGGCCCGCCCCGCCTCGCCGCGCCCCGTCTCTTTATATCCCTCGTCCTTTGCGCTCAAGCAAAAGTTCACACTGTTGGGAAGGGCGTTCGAGGAGAGGGGGGAAGGGAGGGGGGGGGGGG